CAACCCTCTCCCAAAAAAAAGCGAATTAGTATCGCCGGATACCACGCGAAGAAGGCGGAACCAAGTGCCAACTCCTGGAGTACAAACTATAAAAATAATGGGATTTTAGTGCCGCATGTTAACAATGCTCATAATTAGGGACAGAGTTAGAAATCTGAAGAGTGTAGGAACTGTCAGGGGGCTTACTTGTCGCACCTTTAAACCAAATTTACACGTTATATAAATACAAGATGCATTTGAAATATTCATAACATATGTAAGTTATGCTATATTAGTAAATTTGAGCATGAAATAATTTCAATTTTCTTTATAAGACATCGCTCATAATCTTTCTCAAACTCTGCCCGAAAAAGTGAGCAAATCCCTTTCTGACTTTAGATGCTTTCGTTATAATTGAACGGTCCGAAAATATATTGAAGTTGTAGAGTATAATTCTTACCAGATCTATGATGAATCCCAAAATACTACTCTCCATTATAAAGACAACATCCTGTCCTATAAAATGCAAAGTAATCAATAAGATATGAATAAAATATCAACCTTTTCAAATAATAATAAATTTACGACACATATTGAATATGTAGACACTATTATTTATTTGTTCGAAGAAAAATTTCATTTAAGAACTGTTATATGCGTTAATTTTTTCCCTATACCTCTGTTAACCAAAGTTAGTCATCTAAACATAAGGATGAATTATCAGTTGTCACCGGCCACAGGGAGACTAATTATATAAGAAATGGCGATTAAACAAATGCCTGCCATTCGCCACCTGAAAATCCTTTTTCCTCTAAAATTGCGTCATGTTCTCCAAAATCAGTGATTTCGTCTTCTTGTATTACGCCGAAAAGATGCTACCAAAACTTACATCCACATATTGTTGTTGTTGTTACGCATATGTTGTTACATCCACAAATACTTGTCTATACCAGAAAGTCTGCTGGGTGAAATCAAGCGAATTTTGAAGCAGAGCGTATGCTTCTTGTTTTTCAGTGGCTCCATCTATGGCCATAAGGCTACTTCAGACACACGTCACAGCCCGTTTAAAGGATGAACCCATTCATACATACACAGATCATAATTTTGACCTGAACCAGAGAGATCTATTTCAGCAGAAATATGGTTTGTTGTGGAAACATGGGGGATTTTGTGACCCGACAGATTTAACGAGAACTACACATCATTTACTACACGGGAAGTCTCGATCAACTCCCAATGCTCTACTACCAACCAGGCAATCCCGGCCACCCACGCATTCTTTCATTCGTAAAAGTTACAAGATTACTAAATAAGATTTCAATGACGAATAAAACTATTTTTTTTATCTTTTTCACTTACTGCAATACGAAAAACTGAGATTTACAGTAATAAAGGTTTCTTTTGAGAATTAAAAACAATTTTTTTATCAGAATTAAATTCTAAATTATTTTTTTTAACGGCGATTTCATTCAGACTCATTTTTAGGTGTTTTTTGATATACTTCTTGTATCGTCGCTTTTTTCAAAAATTTTCGGCTTATAAGTTTCGTTTTAAGAATTTTTTTTCTTCCATTTTTTCTTTTTCTATAATTTTGTTTATTATCTCTGTTTATATAATGAAGCGGTTTTTTTCCAACTGTTTCTACTAGAATTTTTTTCCTTTTATGGCAAGTTTTTCCCAAAATTGTGGTAATATGAAACACTGAGATTTTTAGAAATGTTTTTTTTTTCTGTTTTTCTTTCTTTGAAATTTTTTGTTTCCATCGATGTTTTTATCACGACGCGTTATTTTTTTAAGAGCATTTCTGATGATTTTATTCTCCTATCTCCACTTTTTCCTAGATAATATGGAGAAATAAAATTTTGCTTTTGAATTCAAAACGATCTATTTTCCTTTTTCTCTTTTGCTTCATTCCTAACTGTCAGAAACACTGTTAGTATCGTTTTTATACCTATATATATTGTTCTTGTTTTATTCCTCGCTATTTTTATTATTTAGTTATAAGTGGTGATTCTGATATATATTTTTTTCTATTTCTTGCGTTTTTTCATTTTGCCATTTCTTTTTTTATAAATGTAAACTTTCGTATTTTTTATCGTTTTTTTTAGTATATTATGTAAGCTAACATGAAAATGTTTAATAAATATAGATGTAAATTAAGTAAGGTATTTGTATATTCTTCTTACTTTTTCCCCTCTATTTAACAATTTCAATTCATTTATTCTCCTAATATTTGGGGACAACTATTATATTTTTTTCTCGCTTTACAGTTAAAAATTTTTCTAAGCTTTAATACATATAATTTGTTTTCTGTAAGACGCAGCATTTTTTTTTCTCCCGAAGATTGAGTAACATTAAAAAAATTGAGATTTACAGTTTTCGAGTAGTACACGAAACTTTTACATACCTGGATTATAGAGTGTTTGTACAGTAATATGGATTTTTGAACGTCTTTCTTTCTTTTACAAGTTTCATTTGCAATGATCTATTTATAAGTTTCATGTCAGTTAGAATTCTGCTTATTTTTGAATAAGGAAAATCTGAACAATTTTAATTTACACTGGATTAGTATAACAGGGAAACTTAATTTTGTAATCAAAGATTCATTTTGAAATAAAGTTAATTTCGCATTAAATTTTAATTTTGATTTATGGTAGATGATATTTAAAACTAATTGAATGAAATATCTCACTTTTTTAATCCCAATAATATTTGTTTTTTAGTATCTAATAAATTTTACGATTCCAAACTAAAAAAAAAACAACAACTCAACTAGTATTACTGGTTTAAAAGATTAAACTCTAAATTTTATAAGATAAAAAAGTTATTTATACCATACTTAAATTTCATTTAAAATAACTTAAAAAGTACGGAAACATTTTTCTGCCTTTTAGAAATGAATCGCAGAGTGTAAATAAGATTTTGAGACATGCTTTACATAAATAATATGAACTTATATAACATAAATAATATGAATTTATATTATATAACTATTTTAATCGTTTTCAATTTTAAATTTTTGAGAAAGTTGCTCCTACGAAAATGCCAGTGGCTGGTAACAAAGTATTACTAATCTTGTCCTATTTTGCTCAGCAAAAAAAGCACAAAAATTACTTTCGGTTAAATTTTGTGTTTGAAAACCCAAGTTTGAATTTTGATTAGAAACGTTAGCATATTATAGCAAATAGTTCTCCCGAAATTTCCGTACGACAAGCCGCAGCGCAATAAAAAAAGCTACTCGATGACGTAGGAAAAAGTTTGAACCTTGCCACCAATCTTTAGCAATTAGGTTAAAACTTCTACAGAACCAATATAAAATTAATGATTTTTTTCTACCAAAACCTTATTTACATTTTTATTTCTGCACGTCTAATGTTATTCTTATGTCATAACTAGAAACAACAAATTTGCATTTTAAGCCCGAACGTTAACCCTTTGTAGAAAATTGCAAAAACGAGTTACAGCAATTTTTAGTTTTCTTATGATTAAGAGGTTTGGATTTCGCCTTCAAGCGATAGCCCACCGCAAGAAATCATTATGTTCAAAATTTTTTTTTTCGCTAGCAAACTTGTTAAAAATATCGCCAAAACTAGTTTTTATTTATTTTTTGACTTAAAGATTACAATTTATGATCTAGAAATTTCAAATATAAATTTTTCCTGCCGCAGGCTGTTACAGTGTCGTCCGCTAGCATTGCTTCTAATCTCTCCAGACANCCCCCCCCCCCATTTGTCAGAAAGGAATCAGCGAATCACATTATTACCAGAACTAGGGTCAATCGCAAAATACCTGCCAATTATATGCCATCTTCATCATTAAGACTATCATGCATAATTTGAATGAAGTTATCATCATATCATACCAAATCATTTAAAAAATAGTATATTTATAAATTTTTTTTACTGACTTTTAAGGAACGTTATGTAAGAATATTTGGGAGGGAGGGGGGCAAAATATACTTAATGTATATATTGCAACTTTGAAATATGTGAATTGTTAAATAATTCTTTTTCTACATGACTTTTTTTCATCCAAGAATTGATGAATTCTGAATTCCCAAAGCATTTTTTTTACATTGGCGTACTTTTACAGTAAACGATTTTTAAAATAAGCAATGGAAAAAAAATAAGCAGTTGTTTATTTAACACTTTTCGCGACTTCGCTACTTTTACTTGCCACGTTGCGAGTAGTTATTTTCAGGTCTAAAAAAGGGATTAAAGGGTTTTGCTGCTTTAATTTTTTTTTTTTTTAATATGTGATAGTTTCTATGGTTGTGTTTATGGGCTAAGCTCCTTTTGTTAGTTAATCTCCTTCCCAATGTATTGTTCTTTGCTTCCTGTGTGGCGCTACTGAGGGTTTTTTTTTTTTTTTTTTTTTTTTTGACGCAGTTATCGATACCGGAATTTACTCATTGAATTTCATTGCAAAATATATTAAATTTTTTTAAAAACATTTTCAAATGAAATAATTTTATTTTCAAAGAAATATCCAATGTTTAATAGTTTTAAATTTGTTTTTTTCTTTTCATTGTAAAGTTTAATTTATTTTCTTTTATAATTTCAGCTATTGGTCTTCATCTCTTTAAACACTCAAAAAATATTTTTAAGCCCTATTTACATTAACAATGATTTTCAAAGACTTTACATGATCACGATAAAATAACTAGCTTCTGACAAAGAACTCTTTTCTTGATTATATTAGCCATTAAAGAGTGATCGAGAAGTTCTTCAGTTTTATTTCAGAGGGTGGAAAATGAAGCCTGACATCGAGAATATTTTGCAAAATGCAGCAGAGTTGCACACGAGAGGGCAAGAATCTCATCGAACTCAGCTCAATCTACGCACACGTGGACCCGCAAGTAATGCATCCAGCATGTAAAATGGATTGGCGCTTTCATACGCTACTTAATGATGGTACGTTGAAATGCATTGTGTTTGAATGAATGCAAAACGTTGAATAGAGCAATGTTAAAACCACGCTTTTGCATTAAACATGGCGAAAGTCTCATTTTTGAAAAGGGAAAATTTCGCACTTTTTAAAATCCAAGAAAAAGCACCTTTAAAGGCATTTGGAAAAACGAAAATGAGCACTTTTAAGCACTACACACTAAGCTAAGCTCCATGACTAGTAAGGAATTGATAGGAAATTATTTTATAACTTTTCCAATTTCTTATGAGAAAATATTTAAGCTTNTTAATAATTATTAATACATTTTATAACTTTCCAATTATTTTATAACTTTTCCAAAATATTTAAGCTTACCTTCGAGTGTTTTGAAATTGAAGGCATAAGTGTCTTCCAGTTCATTCTTAGCGATGATCTCTTCTCAAGCAGCGCTAAAGTTTGCTTTTAATTCTTTTTGAATGAGGTCGCCCAACACTATGTCCAATTCTTCAAGCTGTAGAGAGAAATACATTCATTTTTTCTAGACATAAAATTTATGGCAATTTTTTCATTAAGTATTGGTTGGTAATTAATTTTTATTTATTTATTTGA